AGTAGCTGGGACTACAGGTGCCCACCACAACGCCTGGCTATTTTTTGGTTGCAGCCGTCATTGTTGTTTGGTGGGCCCAGGCTGGATTTGAACCCGCCAGCTCAGGTGTATGTGGCTGGTGCCTTAGCTGCTTGAGCCACAGGTGCTGAGCCAGACTCCATTATTTCAAAACAACTTTTTCTATGTAAGGATATTATTTTATTCTGGTTTCCTTTGGGGCATGCAAAAGCCATGGTAATGGAGGGAGTGGCCAGTGGTGTTTATAAATCTATTTATGAATGCAATTCTGGAGTCTTAGAACTTTAAGCATCACTGAAAAGAAAAAAGAAGTAAAACAATTTAGAGAACTAAAGTTTTGAATCAAGCCTCTGTGGGTAAACTGGATATATTGCTAACTTATTTGAGATATTTATTAGAGAGAACTGCAAAGGTAAAGCATTGTCAGCTTGACTGTAGCTTCTGACCTCCATCCTTTGGCAGCCAAGGAGAAGCCAGTCAATATGAAATAAGTCCCCAGCTATGATATAAGGTCTAAACAGAGGCTCTGCAGCTTCTGCCCATATATTGTCAACCTACAAAATATAAGTTCATATGTAAGTGGCAATTTATTGTAGCCTTCATGCTCACTCAGAGTTGCATATCAATTTCTGCCTCCTTTGAATAAATCTTTTCTGAGTGGCAGAAGGATCTCCATGTGAGTGTGTGTTTCTGGGGAAAGCCTAATGAACTGTAACAGAATGACGGGCTGTAAGTGATAGACAGGCTGCTGCCTGCTTGAGTGCTCAGACAAAGAAGTGATATTTGGGAAGATATTGAATTCTCAAGCATTATAGAAATGTTCTGTTTGGTTACTTGGTTTGGTCTGCTGAATATGAAGTTTTGGTGACATATAAAATGATGTTGTTCCTCTTAATGATTATCATTTAATGGAGAAAAGTTGCACATGAAATAGATTTTAGACTGGTTTTCCATGATTGCTACTTGATAGATCCTGCATAGAGATCTAACATGAGATGATGTTCAAAATTCACACGCTATTCACCTATAAATTGAGGCCCTTTATTTTCTGTATCTCTTGGTGTTTAGCAAATAACACCAAAATGGTTTAGAACTCCTATGAGAGGAGCCTCGGCCAGCTTTTTTTCTTGTCTTGGTTTATATTAACAATGATAAAATGCATATTGCAGCCTCGGCCAGCTTTTTTTCTTTTTTAAATTGTTTTTATTAAATCATAACTTTGTGCATTGATGCATTTGTGGGGTTCAGGGTATTGCTTTGATATATAATGTGAAATGCTTATATTGAACTAACTAGGTTTTTTTCTTGCCTTGGTTTATACTAACAATGATAAATTAGATTTGTAAGTATTAATGATCTCTGATTGAGAGGGTCCCTATTTAAGATTCAGAATTGTTATGATCTTAGCATAAATTAAGCACAGTAATATGACAAATCTGAGGCAGATTTTTCTCACGTTTTTTTTCATTAAACAAACGAAAACCAATTCCTTCTTGCCAAAAGAAAGGGTAAATAGCTGGAAAGTGAAAAGCATCACAGGAAAATTACCTACCTAGCTTTAAAAATGGTGGGGAGAGGGTGGGTGTGGTGGCTCATACCTGTAATCCTAGCGCTTTGGGAAGCCAAGGCAGTTCAATTGCTTGAGCTTAGGAGTTCGAGACCAGCCTGAACAAGAGCAAAACCCCATGTCTACTAAAAATAGAAAAACAGGATGGCACTCGTAGTTCAGTTGGCAGGGCGCCAGCTGCATACACCAAGGGTGGTGGGTTCGAACCCAGCCTGGGCCTGCTAAACAACAATGACAACTGCAACCAAAAAATAGCCAGGCGTGGCAGCAGCTACCTGTAGCCCCAGCTACTTGGGAAGCTGAGGCAAGAGAATCGCTTAAGCCCAAGAGTTTGAAGTTGCTGTAAGCTTGGTGCCACAGCACTCTACCCAGGGTGACAGTTTGAGACTCTGTCTCAAAATAAATAAATAAATAAAATGAATAAAAAAATTAAAATGTAAAAACAAGCCGAGTGTTGTGGTGGGTGCCTGTAGTCCTAGCTATCTGGGAGGCTGAGGCAAGAGGATTGCTCAAGCCCAAGAGTTTGAGATTGCTGTGAGGTATGAAGCCACAACCCCCTACTCAGCATGACAGAGGAAGATTCTGTCTCTAACAACAACAAGAAAAAAAAATGGTAGGGAGAAAGAATTGGAAGAAGGTATCAATTATAGGTTTGCTAGAACTTATATCTAAGGAAACTGTCTTTCTCAGAGAAAGCCAGATTTTCTTGGAAGCCATATTCTTACATGTGCCAGGAGCTATGTTAACCTCAGTACATAGTACAGAAAGACTTACTATGGTAAGAGGCATTAGGAGAATACAAAGTGTGACCCCTACTTATCAATAACTGTGGATCCCTCCTTTTTTGTGGAAGAGTGCCTTGGTATACGTACTTTATAAATATATGCTGAGCATGGTGGCTCACACCTGTAATCTCAGCACTTTGGGAGGCCAAGATGGGAGGATTGCTTGAGTCCAGGATTTCAAGACCAGGTTGGGCAATACAGTGAGATCCCATCTCTACAAAAAAATAGAAAAATTAGGTTGGTGTGGTAAATGTGTGCCTGTAGTCCCAGCTGCTAAGGAGGCTGAGGAAAGAGGTTCATTTGAGCCCAGGAGTTCCAGGCTACAGTGAGCTATGATTCCACCATTGCACTCCAGCCTAGGGAACAAAGAGAGACAATGTCTCTAAAAAAAAGAAAAAAAAAAAGGACATGTTGACTGAATGTACATGTTGTTGGAAAAATCCCAAACATTAACTGAGATTAACTGCAATTATGAGGATATGTTCAAATTATGCATAATAGGGTTGATCTCTGAAGATACATTGCAAATGTACTGCTTATTATTTTTCCACTTATCTTAATTTGAAACCATTATCTTTTGTGTATAATTTTTTATTCAAATATAGTGTGCATACAGAAATCCATCCTCTTTTTGTAATGTACTTTTGACTAACATATACATAAAATTCACCAGTTTAAAGTGTATAAATCAGTGTTTATTAGGGTATTCACGAAATTGCGCAACAGCCATCAATACCTAATTCCAGAAAATTATTATCACCCCCAAAAGTAACTCCATGCTTCTAGCGGTTATTCCCCATTCCTTTCTCCCCAGCATTTGTCAGCCGTTAATAAGCAAGTAAGGATTTGCTTATTCTGGACGTTTCGTGTAAATGAAATCATGCATTATGGCCTTTGTGTCTGACTTCTTTCATTTAGTATAATAATAGTAACTAAAGCATGATATTCCTCTTGTACATGTAGTCTTTTTTATGGCTGAAGGATATTCCATTGTTTTCTACATTTTGTCTGTATATCCATCAGTTGATAGACATTTGGGTTTTTTTTTTTTTACATTTTTGCTGTTAAGAATAATTCTGCTATGAACATTCATGTACAGGTTTTTGTGTGGACATATGTTTTCATTTTTCTTGGGTATATACCTAGGAGTAGAATTGCTGGGTCATATGGTAATTCTTTGTTTAGCTTTTTGAAACCAAACTGTTTCCAAAGCAGCTGCACCATTTTACACTCACACTAGCTGTGTATGAGAGTTCCAGTTTCTCCACATCCTTGCCTTGTCATTTCTTCCTTAAACAAAAAATTGTAGTAGGTGTGAAGTGATAATCTCATTGTGGTTTCTTTGCTTTTCCCTAATGACTAATGATATTGAGCATCTTTTCATTTGCTTATTGGCCATCATAGATCTTCTTTGAATAAGAAGTTAGGCTGTCTTTTTATTGTTGCATTGTAAGAAGTCTTTACATCTTCTGGATGCAAATCCCTTAGCAGATATATGATTTTCAAATAGTTTCTCTCACTCTGTAGATTGTCTTTATTTTCGTAATAATAATCTTTAAAGCATAAAACCCCTCTTTAATTTATCCATTTTCATTTTGTTTCTTATGCTTTTGGTCTCATGGCCATAAAAATTTATGCCTATGTTTTCTACTAATAATGTTATACTTACATTTCAGTCTTTGACCCATGTTGAGTTAATTTGCATATGTAGTGTGAGGTAGGGATCCAACTTCATTTTTTTACATGTGAGTATTCAATTATCCAAACATAATTTATTGAAAAGACTCTCCTCCTTTGAATTGTCTTGTTGCCTATGTCAGAGATCAGTTTACCAAAATTGTGAAGGTTTATTTTTGGACTATCATTTCTATTTCATTGATTTACATGTCTCTCCTTATATCACTACTGCATTGTCTTAATTATTACAACTTTTCAGTAAGTTTTGAAATTAGAGAAGTGTGAGTCTTCCATCTTTGTTCATTTTCAATATTTTTTGGTTATTCTGGGTTCCTTAGCTTTCCATACAAATTTTAGGATCAGCTTGTCAATTCCAACTGAAAAAGACTGGGATTTTTTTTTTTTCTTTTCTGGTACTACATCTCACTTTGCTGCCCAGGCTGGAGTGCACTGTCATGATCATAGTTCACTACAGTCTCAAATTTTAGGGATCAGGAAATCCTTCTGTCTCAGCCTGCCACCTAGCTATGACTACAGATGTATACTATCACACCTGATCAATTTTTTTTTTTTAATACAGAGTCTCACTATGTCGCCCTTGGTAGAATGCTGTGGCATCACAGCTCACAGCAACCTCAAACTCTTGGACTTAAGTGATTCTCTTGCCTCAGCCTTCCAAGTAGGTGGGACTACAGGCGCCTGCCACAACACCTGGCGATTTTTTGGTTGCAGTTGTCATTGTTGTTTAGCAGGCCCGGGCCAGTCTGAACCCGCTAGCCTCGGTGTATGTGGCTGATGCCCTACTCACTAAGCTATGGGCACCAAACCCACACCTGACCAATTTTTAAACTTTTTGTAGAAATAGGGTCTCACTGTGTTTCCTAGGCTGGTCTTGAACTCCTGACCTGAAGAGATCCTACTGCCTTGGCCTCCCAAAGTGCTAGGACTATAGTCATAAACTACCACACCTGACCACAACTTGTATTTGGATAAGAATTGCATTTAACCTGAAGAACAATTTGGTGAGTATTGCCTCCTTAATGATATGTTTTTCAATCCATGAACATAGATATCTTTCCATTTATGTAGATGTTCTTTCAGTAATGTTTGTAGTTTCCAGTGTATAAGCCTTTCATGTCTTTGGATAAGTTTATTCTTAACATTTTTATTTATTTATTTATTTTTATTTTTTTGAAACAGAGTCTCACTCTGTTGCCCAGGCTAGAGTCCCATGGTGTCAGCCTATATACAGCTATCTCAAATTCTGTGTTCAAGTGATCCTCCTGCCTCAGCTTCCCAAGCAGGACACCAATTCTCCTGGATTAGGGCCCCACTCTTAAGACCTCATTTGACCTTAATTACCTCCTTAAAAGACCTGTCTCCAAATACAGTCATGTTGGAGGTTAGGGCTTCAACATATGAATTGGTGTGAGGGGTGGGGTTCTGGGGAGGCACAGGTGGTAGGGGACAAACACAATTCAGTCCGTAACACTGGTATTGTAAATGAAATTGTTTTCTTAGTTTCATTTTAGGATTGTTCATTGATAGTGCATAGAAAAATAGTTGCTTTTTGTGTATTGGGATCTTGGATTCTTTAACTTTTCTGAACTTACTAATTCTTATGGATTTTTGTTATTGTTGTTAGAAGATGTTAGTGTTAGGGTTAGAGGTAGGGGCAGGGTTGGGGTTAGGGCTAGAGCTTTCATAATTTTTTTTTTTTTTTTGGAGACAGAGCCTCAAACTGTTGCCCTGGGTAGAGTGCTATGGCATCACAGCTCACAGCAACCTCTAAATCCTGGGCTTAAGTGATTCTCTTGCCTCGGCCTCCCAAGTAGCTGTGACTATAGGCACCTGCCACAACACCTGGCTATTTTTTGGTTGTAGTTGTCACTGTTGTTTGGCAGTTCTGGGCTGGATTTGAACCCACCATCTCTGGTGTATGTGGCTGGCACCCTAGCCACTTGAGCTACAGGCACAGAGCCCCTTTCATAAATTTTTAAATAGATTTTCTATATACATGATTTTGTCATCTGCAAATAGAGATAGTTTTGATTTTTCCTTTCTTTTTTCTTTTTCTTGACTAATTGCCCTAGCTAGAACTTCCAGTACAATATTGAACAGAAGTGGCAAGAGTAGAATATTGAACAGAAGTGGCAAGAGTGGACATCTTTGTCTTATTCCTGATTTAGGAGAAAGCATTCAGTCTTTCATCATTAAGTAGGAAGTTAGCTGGAATTTTTGTAGATATCCTTTACCAGGATGATGACATATTCCTCTGTTCCTAGTTAACTGGGTGCTTTTTTGTCATGAATAGGTATTGGATTTTGTCAGGTACATTTTCTACATCTATTAAGATGATCATGCCAGTTTTGTCCTTTATTCTTTTAATATGGTATGTTAAATTTATTGATTTGGGTATATTGATCTAATTTTATAATTCTGGGATAAATTTCACTTGGTCATTGTGCATACTCCTATAAATATGTTGTTGGCTTCAGTTTGTTAGTATTTTTTGAATAGTAGTTTTCTTTTCTTGTGATGTCTTTTATCTGGTATCCAGGGCAATACTAGTCTCATAGAATGCATTGGGAAGTGTTCCCTCCCCTTTTTACATTTTTGGAAGACTGACTTCTTCTTTCTATGTCTTGTAAAATTCACAAGCAAGCCATCTGGTCCTGGGATTTTCTTTGTGGGAAGTTTATTATTGTTATTATTATTAATTCAGTCTCTTTGCTTGGTATAGGCCAATTCAGATTATCTCTTTCTTCTTGAGTAATGTGTCTTTAGAGGAATTTGAGTTTGTGTCTTTATAGGAATTTGTCCATTTCATCTAGGTTATCTGATTTGTTGGCATATAATTGTTTATAAAATTTGCCTATAATCCTTTTTATTTCTTTTGGTTGGTAATAATGTTGCTATTTTATTAGTAACTGAAGTCTTTTCTTTTTCTTAGTCTGTCTAGCAAAATATTTATCAATTTTGTTGATCTTTTCACAAGACCAACTTTTGGTTTCATTGATTTTCTCCATTGTTTTTCTGTTCTCAATTTCATTTGTTTCTGCTCTACTCCATATTATTTCCTTCCTTCTGCTTGCTTTGGATTTAATTTACAGGATCTTGTCTTATTACCCAGGAGTGTACAGTGGTACAATCGTAGTTCACTGCAGCCTCAAACTCCTTGGCTCAAGTGATCTTCCTACCTCAGCCTCCTAGTAGGTGGGATTACAGGTACAAGCCACCATGCCCAGCTTTCTTTTTTAATGTAGCATTTACATCTATAAATTTCCCTCTTAGTATTGTTTTAGCACATTGTATAAATTTTGGTATATTGTGCTTTTGTTTTCATTCATCTCAAAGTATTTTCTAGTATCCATTGTGATTTCTTCTTTGACCTAATGGTGATTTTGGAGCGTGCTCTATGATTTCCACATATTTGTGAACCCCCCAAATTTCCTTCTATTATTGATTTCTTCATTCTATTGTAGTCATAGAATTATACTTTGTATAATTTTAATCCTTTTAAATCATTAATGCTTGTTTTAAGGTCTAACAAATGGTCTATCCTGGAGAATGTTCCATGCACACTTGAGAAGAATGTATATTTTTCTGTTTGGGAGTGGAGTGTTCTGTAAATATCTCCTATGTCTAGTTGGCTTATAGTATTGTTCAATTGTTCTAATTACTTTTTGGTCTTCTATGTAGTTGTTTTATTGAAAGGGAAATACTCAAATCTCCATTGTTACTGTTGAATTGTTTATTTCCCCCTTATTTCTGTTACTATTTACTTCATGCATTTGGGGGCTCTGTTATTAGATAGATATATGTTTGTAATTGTTATATCTTGATGGATTGACCTTTTATCACTATCAAATGTCTTTTTTTGTCTCTAGTAACTTTTTTTTTAGACAGAGTCTCACTGTGTCACCCTTGGTAGAGTGCCATGGCATCACAGCTCATAGCAACCTCCAATTCTTGGGCTTAAGTGATTGTTTTGCCTCAGCCTTCCAAGTAACTGGGACTAAAGGCGCCTGCCACAACACTCAGCTATATTTTGGTTGCAGTTGTCATTGTTGTTTAGCAGGCTCAGGCCATGCTCAAACCCGCCAGCCTCAGTGTATGTGGCCAGTGCCCTATTCACTGAGCCATGGGCACCAAGTCATTTTTTTTAACTCTTTTTTTAAAAATTAAATCATAGCTGTGTATATTAATGCAATCGTGGGGTACAATGTCCTGGTTTTACATACAATTTGAAATGCTTTCATCAAACTGGTCAACATAGCCTTCACAGCATTTTCTTAGTTATTGTGTTAAGACATTTATATTCTACTCCTAATAAATTTTACATGTACCCTTGTAAGATGCACCATAGTTGTGGTCCCACCAATTACTCTTCCTCTACCAATCCTCCCCACTTCCTTCTCTTCCCTCTCCCCTTTCCCCTTCTTCTTGGCCTATAATAGGGTTATAGCTTTTATAAGAAAACTATAAATTGGTTTCATAGTAAGACTGAGTATATTGGATGCTTTTTCTTCCATTCTTGAGATACTTTGCTAAGAAGAATATGTTTCAGCTCTATCCATGTAAACATGTAAGAGGTAAAGTCTCCATAATATTCCATGGTGTAGGGGGATTCTGGGAAGATGGCCGACTGGTAACAACCCTGGTCAGAGGCTCCTGAGCAAAGGAAGAAAAACTGGTTGGAATCAGAATCTATGAAGCCAAAGACGGGGAGCTGAGCCCAGAAAGAAGTTCGGCAAGCTGTAAATCTAAGGAAGATCATTTAAGAACACAAAATACAGGTACAAAGCGGGCCCCAGAACTGCTTGCTAGAGCCGCCCGCCTCCCACGGGTGGCGAGTGGCCACAGAGAAGTCCCCTGCTCTGGGCAGGTGCAGAACCACTTGCTAGAGCCTTGCACACCCCCACAGGTGGCAGCGGACGAGTCCCCCACTCTGGGAGGGCCCAGAACTGCTTGCTAGAGCCGCGCACACTACAGGTGACAGAGTAGATCCCTACTCCAGGGCTCTGGGCGGGCACAGAACTGCTTGCTAGAGCTGCACACCTCCTGCAGGCTGCGGGTGGCTGTAGAGGACTTCCCCTGCTCCAGGAAGGCACAGAACTACCTATTAGAGCCTTGCGCACCCCACGGGTGGTGGCAGAGGAGTCTCCCACTCTGGGAGGACCCAGAACTGCTTGCTAGAGCAGTGCACCCCACAGGCAGCCAAGGAGATCCCCACTCCAGGGCTTTTGGTGGGCCCAGAACTGCTTGCTAGTGCCACGGGTGTCCTGCGGGCAGTGGCGGAAGAGGCCTCCATTCCAGGCAGACCCCAAACAGCTTTCTAGAGACACACACACCCAACGGGGGCCAGCAGAGGAGTTCCCTGCTCCAGACACCTGTGCTGGGTGGGCCTAGAACTGCTTGCTAGAGCCACGCGCACCCTACAGGAGGCAGTGGAGGAGTCTTCCACTCTGGGTGGAACCAGAACTGTTTGTTAGAGCCACGTGCATCCCACAGATGGAGGTGAAGGAGTTCCCCACTCCGGGCTCTCATGCTGGGAGGGAATAGATCGGCGTCTAACAGGCCACGGTGAAGGAGTCCTCCACTCCCCCCAGCTACTCTGGTAGGGCCAAAGTAAGACTGATCTGGTCTCTCATGTACCCTATACTACCGCTGCCATTCCTCCACCCCCTGGCTGCTCCAGGGTACTGAACTAGGACTGATCTGCCTACTACCAATCTCCTGCCCTCTGGTTGCCCCAGTAGGCTGAACGAGGTCTAATCTGGCCACACACACGCCCATGAGCTGCTGCTGATCCACTGCACCCCGGTTGCCCCAGCACCAGAGAACTGGGAGTAGACAACAGACACGCTCTGCCTCTCTCTCTGGGCAACCAGAAGAAGCCACCAACTGAACAGTTCTGATAAGGCCTCCAAACAAGGTAAACTCAGAATGGGGCAGAATCAGCGGAAAAACTCTGGCAACTCGAATAACCAGAA